ATATGTACATAGGGCTATTCCCCTATCAGTATATATAAATGTATTTACATACGTACATACCTGTATGCAGACCTCTATAATGTTCTTTGCCTCCCAGTTCTCTCCTGTTTCCTTTCACTCTCCTCCCGTTCCACCACGCTGGGCTCTTCTCGGCTATGCTGCCCTTGATTAAGCCCCGCACCCTATGCCCTCCTCACCATCAATGTTAGGGCACGGATTCTTCCCTTGCCCTTGGATGTGTTGGCACTACCACCCCTTTTCCCCCATCTCTCTCCCCTTCGGATTGTTCATCCCGCCTACCTTGTCCAGATAGACATGTGTAGACAATGACACACACACACAGAGTAAATCATCATAAAAAAGAAGACAAAAAGATCAATTCAACAGCAGAAACAGCAGAGCCCTCGTGATGTCTCTTCCTTCCTCTGAGGCGTCTGCCGTCATGGCTTTGCTGGGCCACTCGGCTTTCACTTGTGTCAGCTGTCACCGGATACAGACTTTCTCATCTACAAGACCACCCGCAGGGGAGAAGCGGTCCAATCTCACCACACCCTCTCCAGCATGTCTTGTTGGATGGGTGTTAGGTGGTATCTCCTGGTTGCTCTGATGTGCATTTCCCGGGTGGCTAGAAAACGCATTTCCTCATGTTTAAAGGCCATTAGAATGTCGTCCCTTGAGAACTGTCTGTTCAGGTCCTTTGCCCAGCTTCTCCTGGGATTAATCGTTTTTCTTGTTGTAGACTTGTGAGATGCTGTAGATTTTCCCAGTCTGTGGCTGGGTCCCTGGATGGACCCGAGTACTTTCTTCTCAACAGGCCCCACTGTGGAGTGCCTTTCCTCGGTTACTAGCTCTAGTAGCCTGGACAGCCCTACGCTGGAGCGCTGCTTTCCTCCGGACTTTCTCATCGACGATCTTTTACACTCAAGTCTTTGATTCATCTTGAGTGTGTTTCTGTGCTCAGCATGCAGTTGCAGGGCGGTGAGGGGACACTGCCAATCCAGCCTGCGCGGTCCCGGTTCTGAAGAAACCAGCAGCCCCACTCTGTCCAAGAGCAGCTTCCTGGCTCTCCAGGCGGGCTTGCACAAGCTCAGTTATGTGGCTGAGATGCCTCCTAGCACCGTTAGCCCCAGCACAAATGGTCACTTTCCAGGCTGTCCTCCGTGGTGATTAGTGTTGCTGTGATACTGGAAGCGAGGTCACTGGACCAGCGTTTTTCGAGACCAGCAGGGTCATGCCAGAGTGAAGAGGTTTCGGCAATCTCCCCAAGAACAGACTACAGGCAGGCCATCTGCTCCCGTGGGGTGCGCCCCTGAAGTGTGACTGCTGCAGAGGGCCGCAGATGAAACAGCTGTCCCTCCCTGGGGCTGAGCCCCAGAGACCACGGGCTCTGCGCTTATTCAGTCTGCTGGCTGAAACGCCTACTGGGCCGCCAAGCCCACTCTGGGTCACCCTCAGCAGCCCTCCCCGAGTGACACCAGCGGCACGTCCCGCGACACCTCTGCAGTGGACACCAACATGCCGCCGACCCCACACAGCTGTACGAAAGCTCAGCTCAGCTCAGCCAGAGGACAGTCCTTTCATCCCCTCAGGGTGGGGGTCATCCCCTCCCCAGGTGGCCTGGAAAGTAAACCTGTCTATAGTGAGGTGCCCCTGTCGTCTCCTATGTGGAGGGCAGTGGCCCCGTGTTTGCGAGCACTGGTGTTACCACGAAAGACAGGACACCCAGGGCAGACTGCAGGCTTTACTCACCAAGAGCAGCATCAGGGCTGGCGGGTCCCCTCCCCTGCCCACCAGGGTCCGCGCCTGTGCCTCCCTGTCCCTGATGGGCAGGCAGCAGGTGTTGGCCAGGACGTGCCTCAGCCTTGGGCTGTCCCTCTCCCAGGTGGGGGATGACAGCCAGCAAAGGAGGCTCTGGGCAGCCCCCGTGGGGTGGATAGTGTCCCCCAGACCCTGGGCCAGGGATGGCCGGCCTGTGGGTGTGGTGTTCTTCAAAATCCCATGGCTGGAGCCTGTCTGAACGGTCCCAAGGGCCCGGATGAGACCAGCTCTGCCTTGGCAAGGCCCTGGGCGTCCCTGCTGCCCAGCACTGGACGGCAGGGCCAAATATGTGCCCGGGCGAACCCAGTTCCTCTGCCGGGCTGTTGACAGTCTGTTGGCTGGCCTCCGTGGTGGTCACCTCTTGAACTTTCCCCTCTTGAGGGCCTTCCACTCGCCCTCCTGCGTCGCCAGGCTGTTGACCAGCTGCTTCACCTTCCGCTTCCGCTCCGC